GTTAATATCTATAATGAAAAAGTAGATTTAAAAATTAAAAAAATAATATTAATTACTAATTAAAATAAATTAATATATTTAGATATTTTTAGTAATATGGTTTTGGCTTGCTTTTGTTTCGATTGGATCGATTTATGGTTTAATAAAATGGTTTCGTTATTTTACTTTGAAATCACGTAAAAATTTTATTCGTCGATATTTAAAAGCAAATGGAATTGATTATCATTCAAGACATACAGCAAATTATGATAATGAAATGCTTCGAACTTTTGTCGATAGTTATTGTCGTCAAGATGGAATCTTATTGTAAATATTAATTTTTTTTATTTTGATTTTTTAATTTTTTTTTTGTTTTAAGGTTACGTATTATTACTGCAAATATGAATAATGTTATTGTTGGTGAACTTATTTGTGCGTTATGGGATAATTGGCAAAAGCAACGACAAATTCGTATTGATACTTTATCTCAACATATTGCAAATAATAAAGAAAAATTACTCGATGATCATGATAGTAATAATTCAACATTACCACATTCAAAAACAGGAACATTAAGCATTCATGATGATCGTTATCTATTATTACCACCACGTATTTAAATCATTAAAGGATTTTTCTCGTTTTTGTACTCTGTATTGTTTTTTTGTGCAAAACGTAGAAAAAATATCTTAGTTTCTTTTTTTTTCATTTTTTTAAGTTACTTTTCCGAAATAAAATTATTATAAAAAAAAAGAAGAATAACTTTTACGATGTATACCTAGGTCGAAGAATCCGGCACGGAAACGGCCAGTTCCGCCCAGATATGGCTAGCTTCCTCAGGTATTTTGCTAGGAATTTATGGAATTGTGCTTCAGGAACCATCGTCCTGGGTAGACTACTTTGAAGTAAAACATTTACAAAAAGAAAAAGTTGGGTGTGGATAGGCGTCATTTCGGTGTGCAAAATTGGTGGCCGGACAGAATGTCGTAGGACAAATGGTCGCGGACAAAATGTCGCAAAAAACTCGTCGCACGGACAAAATTTTGCAACGATAACCTTTCGTACCACAGGGTGTAGGCTTCGGTGATAATGAGTGTAAGACTTTGGGTGAGGGTGAGGATAAGGATGCCACTAAAGATCATATAGACTGATGATGGCACTCGCATGTAAATCTATGTTACATTCATGTTCGTCCTCGCATATCGCGCTCTCCCCTCACCTATATCCACGCTTGCCGCCAGGTTAAACGCTTCCATGTAGGATTTGTTAGAATCCTGGTCTTATTGACAATCTCATAAGACTGAAAATCTTTTGCTACGGGTTCTAATAACTTTCGATAGCTCGTCAACCTATTGAAAAAACTTCGGCAGGATTTGATAGTTGGATCGCTTGTTGTAAGCAACTACAACTACCATACATGCGGGATAATAATGTATCTATAATATCATCTACTGATCAGAAGTCCTTTTTTTATCAGAGTATACGTTTCGTCCTTATTCTGCTGAGAAATCCTCTCGTTGCGACCATTTGTCCTGCGACATTCTGTCGTAGCGCCGCAAAATTATATTCCACATTTATACCTACACCTTCACCCACATCCTGTGTGTATGATCACAACATCCAGGGTTGAGCGTTAAACGTAAATATAACAAAAGAAAATATGTATAATCTAACATATAATACCATATCATATCAGAAAAGATAATCTAACGACAATAATATGATATCTGGCCTAAGAGAATGATGAAAAGAAAAGAGATATCCAGTCACGCTACCGAAGAAGTATATAAAGAAAAGATTTAATGATCTACTTCGTATTTTACGAAGCTATTTCTAGTCTATCAACAAAAATAAGTCTTCGCCAATACCGTTTTTTTACAAGTTATAAATATATTAAATTATATTTCTAGATTTTTTCTATACACAATATTCAAGAAATAAAATGGCTAAATCAGCTGATAGAAGCAAAGACGATACTATGAAACACCTTGGTTTACCGGGAAACAAATATCTTTTCTATTACCGGTACAACATTTCGACGATGATCGTCTTCATTGTGTTGCAGTATCATCTGAAAAGTTTGATGAATTATGTTTACCGCCGAATCGTATAGTGCTGCTTGGAAATGAAAAGGATCGAAGATAAGCAGCTTGTACTGTTGAACGTCAATTATCTGAAACGAATGGTTCCAAATGAATCATATAGTTCGACACAATCTGGAAACAAATTTCTAACTAATGGAGGATTGTATAGTCCGCCACACCCACACTCATCCACGCCCACACCCTCAAGATTATTGATGATTCTATTCATATGGGTCAATATACTGGTATTGTAGAATTATTACAAGAAAAAATAAATTAATTAAATTTATCACGTAATGGTATTGTTATTCTTAAAAATGTTAAAGGTCGTACAACGCTATGTAATTTGAAAGCTGGTGAATTTTGTCCAAACAACAAAATAAAAATACATCGGATTGTCCGACAGAATTTACGCTCACGTATAGGTGATGCTGTCCGAATCGACGCTTGTGGAAACATTAAAAATGGTAAATATATATTCGTGTTCTACCTATTAGTGATACTATTCAAGATCTAATAGGCAATCTACATAAAGCCTTTTTAACACCATATTGGGTGTGGGTGTGAGTGTGGGTGTTGATAACCCTTGAAGATTACACTGAAGCTCATACCCAGACACTATTACAGACATTCTAAACGACGATTCATCAGTTGCATAATTTCTACTTGAGACTGTGGGTGGAATAGAACACGTGCACTATCATCCACATCGACGTCACACTCCGTATGTATGATCACAACAATCCAAGGTTGAATGTAAATGAAAAGTAAAATAAAAGAAAACATATATGATCTAATATAATATTAGATCATATATATTTTTGAACAGTATATAAAGCAAAGAAATAATTTATCTATTTTATATTGTAGAAACTGTCACCCGTCTATCAAATGGATGCAACAACTAGTACAAATCGAAAATACAGTATGATTATTTAATTAAAACCGTTTCCGAGTCGGAGGGGTCGACCTGGATCTCAAATCAGAAAACAAAAGAAAAGAGACTCTTGAGGTATTTTTTCGAAGTGTATAAAGAAAAGAAATAATTGGTTTATTTCATATTGTAGAATATCACGGTATATAAATACATTTTTTTCTTTATTCTAGATTCATCGCATTATCATTAAATGGTGGAATCAAGTACTTTAAATCAAAATAACCGTGCTGGTCGTTTTATTATTGATGATGATATGAATCAGGACGATGAGAACGGTACAGTATAATTATAAAAACAAAAAATAAACGAATTAAAATTACCACTTGGTGGTACTATTATTCTCAAAAGCGATAACGGACTTAAAACAGTATGTACTTTGTAAGCTGATGCACTTTATCCAAGCAACAGAATACGTATAAATCTTGAGGGTGTGAGTGGGGGTGGATGTTTGTGTCTCTTCTCTTAACTCACACCGAGAACCCGTGCGAAAGGTCTAATATTAGGGAGGGGGGCAGTATAAAAGGATATTTAGAAAAAAACTTACTCCAAGTCAGATCCCGTCCCTGAAAAAAGAATTTTCCAACTAATGGAGAACTGTATAGTCCGCAACCCTCACCCCGC